CACAACATTTTATGCAAGTTGATTCACAGAAATCAAGTATATATTCTACAATTTCACCCACATTTGCAGACAATATAGCCAGATTTGAAGCCCTTTTGATTTTAAACTCTCATGTTTATTAAATTATATTACTTTGTATTTAGCTAATTTGCAGTAAAACGCTCAGTTTTCCCAATTCACTCAGTCTTCCTGCGTCCGTGTGATTCATATCACACCATCAGGACGGCAACTCGTTTTAATGTTTGCTTTGGGATTTGTGGAAAATCCCTTTCCGTTATGAGAAATTCAAGCTCACCAAATTCTGGCGGTTTGTTTTTCCAAGGGTGCAGCAGTGCTAAGGATGCTGTCAGAGTTTCTCACCGAGCCTGTGTTTGCTAGAGGACTCAGTGTGAGTATATTATCACTTCATCTCTGCTGCTGTAATGTGTGTGCGACTGTCAGCAGACTAGGAATTAATGATGTTGTGTCTGTGGTTATTTATGCCAAAAAATGTTTCCTGGTAAATTCACACTATTTTCCTTTCCTCGTGATTGCATCATATGATCCTCATCTCCGTTTTGTGTCTTCAGTCTTACCTGAACACATTCGCTTTTGGTAACACTGTATATACAGACCTGTGGGATCATCTCCAACAGGTTGGTTAACCTGCATGACTTCACTGGTATTGTGTTTTTTGGGTGTGTGTGTGTGCAATTAACTTAAATTTCTGTGTGTGTGTGTGTGTGTGTGTGTGTGTGTGTGTGTGTGTGTGTGTGTGTGTTGTCAGGCAGTTGAAAATGCACCAGGAATACATATTCCACACTCTGTGGAAAATATCATGAACCGCTGGACTCTCCAGATGGGCTACCCAGTCGTCACTGTTGACACCCGGACAGGAAGTGTCACACAGAAACACTTCCTGTTGGATCCAGGCTCTACAGTGGACAGACCCTCTCAGTTCAAGTAGGAAACTGTTGAACCTTGTGCTGCAAGTTTCACTCAGATGAGAAATGAAGGGATTTAGGCTGCACTTACACACATGTGCTTTAGGCTCCTGGTTCTCATTCACATTGAAGGGGCTGATGTCGTGTGTTGCTGACATGAGATGTGACTCTGATTTGTTTGTGTTGCTTCTACCTAAGCTGATTTTTTTTTTCTTCAGACAGCAGCCAATAAGAATCTGTTGTATTAATCCAGTGTACCTACTAGCAGTGAAATCGTAATATGGAAATGACAAACAATAAATTATCTATCTTCTTTTCCCATTATGTCTTTTCTGTCTAGTTACACCTGGTATGTCCCTATCAAATGGATGAAGACGGGTGTGCAGCAGCCACAATACTGGCTCCTTCAAAAAACAGGTACACTCATATCATGGTGCTGTATTAGTTCTGCACACAGACTAAAAAACAAGACATTTCCTACTAGATTAGTTGGTTTAACCACAGCTCATTAAATTAATCAAATCTGCTGTGTGTCATTCTTTTCTTTTGTTTAACTAGACACTCATATTCCGATGAGAGTGTCAGGACAGGACTGGGTACTCGCAAACACAAATGTATCTGGATACTTCAGGGTGAACTACGATCCTGATAACTGGGACCGTCTCCTTTCCGTGCTCAACACCAACCACCAGGTGAGTCACAAGTGTTTTCCTGTTTGTGCTTTATGTCCACATTTATATGGTATGACAACTAAAGCCTGTACAACGGCTATTCAAATAACCAAAACTGGATGGAATAGATGCATAAAAATAAAACTAAACTAAAATAATAAAACAAAATAAGATAAAAAGTTAAATTTACTCCAACTATATCTATGAATTTCCCCTAGTTTCTGTTGCCTATGTTTAAGGTCGGTTTGTGCTGGATTGGGTCAGCGACAAAGACTTTCTGGTTATTATACTTTTAGCTGTATCTTACACTTTCCTGACAATAGCACTGCAGCCCTGAACTTTTACAGATACCACCTGATAAAGGTCTGGGTACTCTTGAACCAGTATTAGCCGGTCTTCAACCTGCCCCTGTTGTTCTGTTCTGTGTGCCATCTTATTGCACTGATATGAAAATAGCACAACAATTGTGTATTTAACAGTATCAAGTGAGAATCATGTGTGCTGCCTCCTGTTAAGGCTCTCCAGACTCCTTTGCCTGAAGCAAACACAGTATTATCAGTAGTATGAATGTAAAGGATAATTTGGAAAATATCTAAAACCATGTCTCATGAATTTGACTGAGGTTCATGTGTTTAAATGGCTTAAGGCAGACAGCACCAGACTAGGCAAAGAATCTTAAAAACACAATAACTGCACAAAAACTCCAAGTTAAAAGTCTTAGCAGAAAAAAGATATTTGGTGCAATCTATGCATTTTTGCCAAATTTACACACTGAGCTGTAGACAATTTGAACTGCTTTCAGTATGTGTAACTCTTGGGTTTTGACTAAATTTTTTTCTTTGAGTGCACCGATCAAAGTTTGTTGTGGAAGACGAGACAAGAGCTGAATTTTTTACATTTCAGAAACGTATCAGCTGTCAAATTTTGATATTTGCTGCTTTTTCTGTCAGTTATTTGAGCTCTGAGACTACACTCACTGACCACTTTGTTGAGTACACCCGTTCTGCACATTAATGCAACTATCAGATCCACAGCCACATGGGAGCAACTCTTTGCATTTAGGCATGGTGGAAATAGAACTGAGCATTTAAATCTCAGTGATTTAAGGGATTTTGAGAAGGTCATTGTGACACATGACCCACAGATGGGCACTTCCGCGTTTGAGAGTTCAACAGTGCTTTATTTACAGTTGTGATTTTCCCTGCGGTTTCTGGCTCTTGCCCCGGACGCAGCCACTCCGTCACTCCCGTTGTCCCTCTCACTCCTTCTCACTGCAAGACATAAGAAAAGTCTCTCCTCATCAAGTCAGTTCCGGGCACCTGCTCCTTCCCGCCTCAGCGCCGTCCCGTGAGCTCCCCTCCTCTGCAGCAGGCCAAAGACCACGCCCCCGCCACAGGCATGCTTGTTAGTGTCAGATGGGCTGGTCTAAGTGTTTCAGAAACTGGTGATCTACTGGGATTTTTCCCACACATCTGTCTCTATGATTTACAGAGAATGGTCAGAAAGAGAAAACATTCAGTGAGCAGTAGTTCTCTGGGTGGAAATGCCTTGCTGATGCTACAGGGTGATGTCCAGGCTGCTTTGAGATTGAAAAGTAACAGAAGAGCATTTCTGAATACACACAAAACACATTGAACCTTGAAGCAGATGGGCTAAAGAAGCAGAAGGCCAAACTTGGTACCTCTACCATCAATTATGAACAGGAAACCAAGGCTACTATTTGCACCAAAATGGGACAAAAATGTTTCTTGATCTGAGTCTTAATTTCTGCTACAGTATTCAAATGGTAGGGTCAGAATTTGTGATGAACAACATGAAAGCATGGATCATGCTGCTTTGGATTAACAGTTCAGACTGGTGCTGGTGGTATAAGCTGGTGGTGGTGTGAGGGATATTTTCTTGGCACATTTTGGGCCCATTAGAAGCAACCAAGTGTTATTTAAATGCCACAGCTTACCTGAGTATTGCTGCTGACAATGTCCATCCATCTCCTCATGGCTGCTTTCAGCAGTATAAGACGCCAATTTACAAAGCTGAGATCATCTCAAATTGATTTCTTTAACATGACAATGAGTTCATAGTACTTTTTAGGTCGTCACCCAAGCGTGTAAAATCACAATCAGTCACAATCTAAGTCATCCAGGCTACCCTTCAGTGGCAAAGGAATTTAAAAAACCAAGCAGTCAAGTCAACAATCTCACTTTTGGCTCCCAGGCAACCTTTGTGAATGCCTTTTCAACTGCTGGAGTGCAAAATAAACAAACACATGAGAACAGAGAGTCCTTCCAGCTGATCTGATAAAGCCCAAGGTTTCAGAGCTTTAACAGACAGAAATATGTTGGCTTTGTTCAATGTCATTTTTCATATTGCATTTTCAGTGTATTACATTTCATAATTTTAAATGTTAAGTTAAATTGTTTTGTCTTATACGTCTTATACACTTTGCATGTGACTTTTTTCTTTCTTTCAGACTGTATCAATCATCAACAGGGCACAAATTATCGATGATGCATTCAATTTAGCAAGGTAAAGGAAAAAGAAAAATCTTAAGTTAAAGTATTAAACAGTTATGTGTGAAAAAGCATCCTTTTCTTTTTCCCCCAGAGCCAAAATAATCAGCACCACACTGGCTCTGAGAACTACCAAATACCTGTCAAAAGAGCGAGACTACATCCCCTGGGAGTCAGCTTTGAGAAACCTCAACTACTATATTCTCATGTTTGACCGCAATGAAGTCTACGGAGTTTTGCAGGTTAGCCCTACTTTAGTTTACATGCTAATTATTATTCTTGCCTATTGTGAGTGTTTAAAATAAAAGAGTCAACTGACAGGAAAAAAAAACTAACTCTAACTCTTTTTTTAGGCATACCTTAAGAAACAAATACAACCTCTATTTGAGCATTTCAAGACAATTACATCTAACTGGACAAGAGTACCTACAGGACACACCGACCAGTAAGGGCTCTTTTAAACACAGATTTTTGATATAAAATCAAAAAGCTAAGATTTTGTATATATTGTTTGTCTCTGTAAAAAAAATCTTCTCAGGTATAATCAGATAAATGCTATTGGGATAGCCTGCAGTGCGGGAGTGGAAGGCTGTAGGGAGCTTATAAAAAGCTGGTACAGAGAGTGGATGAAAAATCCAAGTCGCAACCCGTGAGTACAAAGTGGTTTCAATCTGTTCTTTTGAGCCCATGAAAGTTCTCATACACGTTTAAGGCTTTTATATCTGTCTTTTACTACTCAGTCTTGGCAAATCTTGTCAGTAGCAGGTGTTTTTAGGGTTAGGCGGTTATGATGCAGCTCATAACCAGCAACATGAAATTGAGATTGACACCACAGATTTTAGAAACAAGACCTGTAATTAGTGTAATGGGTCAAATGCACTGACCCATTAGTGTAATGGGTCAGTTCAATATCAGGACAGTAAGGGCCTGTGCAATACTGGGTCTTGTGCAATAAAATTGATGCTTCCGTTATTGTTATCTATATTGTCCTCTGTGTCCACTCTTCTTGTCATTGTTTGTTCTAGTATAATGTGATCACTGTTTTTGTCCTTGTCACATGACCTGTAAATAGTGTCTCTGTATGTTTTTTACTAACTTGTGTTTAACACCAACCTGCCAGAGGTTCTGCAGATGGAAATTAGCGCCAGGCTATAATCTGGCATATTTACATTTGTTAAAATGTTCATTAATATGTATTGCCCCACTTTCTAAATAAAATAAATAAATACATTTAAATGAATGCATCTTTATAGTCACAAATCCAGTAGATCATGACATGCAAGAAGATATGTCATTCCCATGCCGACCTCAGACATGCCACACTTTGTCAGACACTGACAATTTGCAATTGTCCAAAGACTCTTGCCCTGGCCACTGCAAGAGCAGTAAGGAATTTAGAGCGGTGTGAGAATGAATATTTCTTATAATCTGCCATAATTCAGACCTCTTAAATTTGACTGCTGAACTGTTTACAAAACTGTTAAATAGCTAGTGACCTATATGCCAAGTATGTCTGTGTGTGTGCATTCAGGGAGAGGAGTGAGCCAGTGTTCTAGGATTCATTTGAAATTCATTGCATAATCTTTATGTTCACCAGGATCCATCCCAACTTGAAAAGCACAGTTTATTGCTACGCCATAGCCTTTGGTGGTGTGGCAGAGTGGGACTTTGCCTGGAACATGTTCAAGAATGCTACTCTGGCATCTGAAGCGTCCAGGCTCAGGTCTGCACTGGCCTGCAGCAAAATACCTTGGCTTTTGAACAGGTGTGTTGTGGAAGTACAGTAATGTATTAGCAATGTAAATGCTTTTCAAAGAAGCTAAACTGATTGTTTATTCAGAATAAAACTCTCACAACTGAACACAGAGAAAGAGAACCTGCTTTGCAGCATAAAAGCAATTATAGCAATTACATCTTAATGATAGGACCATTAAAAACAGTAAATGTAACACTGTGAACTGGTGGTGAAGAGATTCACATCATAGCAGAAAAACAAGTGTGTCGAACTGAGCTTTCCCAATTGGCTTGCACTCTATTTACCACCCACCATGGTGCTATCTAAACAGTACTATTTTAATTATATCCTCACAAACAAATAAATCCTGCTTGTGGATGCTGGCCACCAAGGGTGTTTTTATCTTGTCTGGGATGAGTTTGTTTTTATGCAGTCCCATAAACTCATCAACAAATGCACGGTAATTCATTTTTAATCAGTTTGTCAGTTCGATCAGTAAGCGAGTGGGTTACACTCCCTAAGGACCCCTTTCCAAATAATGAGGGTGGCCATGCAAATTAAAGAAAGCCTTTAGCAGCCCCCCCACACCTCCAAGATATTAAGCTGTGTGTTATTGCCTATAAATGTGCTATAATTTTGTTAAATATTAATGTGGTCACAATAGAAAATAGTTCCCATATACCAATAATGCTACTTTATCTCCTGGTCTCTGGTTGTTGATTCCCTCCCTTATAGTTTAATTCAGTTTTATTTATGCAGCACTAAACTGAGCAATATCTATAGCAGGCATTGTGCAGTCACAACTTTGAACGATCTCAGATATTTTCCATTTTCCCTCGGAAATAATCGTTGTATGTGGGTATATCGTTGACTCAGGTATCTGGAGTACACACTAGACCCAACTAAGATCCGTAAGCAAGATGCCACCTCTACCATCCAGAATATTGCCCGAAATGTTGTGGGGATGCCGCTAGCATGGAACTTCGTCAATGCTAGATGGAGTTACATCTTCCAACAGTGAGAGCTCTATCCTTTTGTTTCTAAATAGTCAGTACTCACAAGCTAATTGTTAAAGACAGAAAAGAATTTTAAAAGCTGAATTTAACAGCAGGATTTAAGTAGTAATCACATTTCTTTAGGTGCAAATCCTGCTGGGGTTTTTTTTTCCACTTACTTGCCCAGTTTGAGTTTTCAAGCATGACTACCTACCTATTACTAATTCCTTCTGCTGAACTACAGCTTTTCCCCCCCCTTTTTCTCTTTTTAGATATGGAAAAGGATCATTTTCCTTCTCTAATCTTGTCAGTGGAATCACACAGAGATTCTCTACAGAGTATGAGTTACAGGAGGTATGGAGCCAGCAAAACCTCAACCACACAGAAAAACACAGAATTTCCCTTTGGGCATTTGGGAGAAAATAAATACAACGATTGCTAAATTTCTGATTTCGTCTGTTTGTATTTGCTCTTCTCTCCAGCTTAAAAGATTCAAAGAAGAAAACCTCAGTGTTGGCTTTGGTTCTGCCACCATGGCCCTAGAGCAGGCCATAGAGAAAACAACGGCTAACATCAAGTGGGTGACAGAAAACAAAGCTGAAGTGCAGCGGTGGTTTGCTCAGGAGTCCACGTGAGAACACCAAAAGCCACCACAGTCCTTTTTTCAGTACTGACAGTGATATGTAATTAATGAAAATCACTATAATCATCGGAAACAACAAAAGCCTTTTCTCTTGACAAATGCAGATGGACTGTTTAACTGTTGTCACACAATAGCCCACTTAACATCAGCTTTAGTGCAAGGGAAGGGAAGAGACCAAGACAGCGTGTTTGTTTTCTACATATTTTACATTATAAGTTGATCCTTATCATGATTTATACTATTACCCAAGGCAGTAAATTTAATGTAGAGCAGTAGAGGCAGAGATTAATGGCAGCAATTCTACAAGTGGTTAAAATCTGTTGACGACAGCTGTTTTCATGCATGTGCTTGAACTTTCCTAGACCGACAGAGATGCATGGGAGAAATGTCTGATGTGGTGGGATCAGACATTAAACAGTCTCTATCCTGCCAACTTCCTAGTACAAAGTGCATATGATGTGCGGTTGAAGCCATGGTAGAATTATACTTAAAATAAGTCACTGAATTACAGCAAGTGCTGACCACTAAACACAAAGTATTTCCAGAATTAAGAGCACATCTAAAGTTGTGTACTTTCTGTCACCTGTGAAAAAGGACAGCTTTAGACAAATGACCTCATTCACAAAATTTTAATTTTATGTTGCTCATCATCATGTGATCGTTTGCTTCCATCATGTGACATCATGTGTCACACCAACACTGTCCTCCTCCTTCCCTGCATCCATAAACCTCCTCTATGCTTTTCTTCTTCTCCTGCTGCTTGGCAGCTCTACATATTTAACATCCTTTGTCCAATATATCCACTGTCTCTCCTCTGTACATGCCCAAACCATCTCAGCCTTCCTTCTCTAACTTTACAACACCAACCAAAAAGAAATGGTCGTAGAAAGAATAGTACCCATGGATACCTTTTAGGTGAAGGGTTTCAGGGAGGAGACTTGCGAACACCTTGGTAGCCCTCCTGAAGAGCTGGAGGAGGGGACTGGGGGTTTATGCTTCAGCAGCTACACTGTAACCGCAGACCCATCAAAATCTATAGCCTAACCTGTGTCATAACTGGATGTGCATCTTCCCAGAAATGTAACTACACATCAGGCTGATGCAGCTCACAACTATTGAGATTGTCCAGTTCAGTGCGATTCCTCCCATGCCTTTCTGGCTACTTTTTTACGAAATTTTTTGAATTTATCAGCGAAAGAATAACATTGTGTCAATACAAGAAATAATGATGATAGCACCAATGTCAGGGCTCACAAACTTCAGCAAATTGTTGCAGGGAGATTGCTAAAACTATCTGAATGGACGTGAAGGAAGGTCCAAAGAAGTGGTTATGTTTGCCCCAGAAGCAAAGAGTGAGGGGAAAAAGTCCCAGTATTTTATTTATAGCTATAGGCTAAACATTTTACTAATAAAGTTTAATTTTTTTTATTATTTTTTTAAACCATCGTCATTCTCAAGTAGACATTTTGGAAAGGTGTGGGTTTTCTGATTTCCTCCTCAGATACTGTTGTTTTATTTTCCTTAGTTGTCAAATTCATCAGCTTTTTTTGCTTTCCTTACAACACCTTCATGGCTCCTCCATGACTGGCATTGAGATAAACAATTTTCTTCCTTACAAAGAGAGGTGACAGCATACAAACAACAAGCACAAACCCTTCCATTTAAAATCATTCTGATTCTCCAGATGATTCCCCACACTTGTGTTTATCAATACGAATCATTTGTCCTGATTCATAAGCCAGTCACACCTGTCTAGCAATCAGGCAAAGATCTCTTACCTGGATTTGATTCACAAAGGTGTATGATGAGGGCGCACTCAATTACTGTGCTCCTGTTCTTTGGAACAAGCCGGCTGCTCACCTAAGATCAGTTATATCTGCGCTGACGTTCAAAGACAAACTCCAAATCTCTTTGTTCACACAGGCCTGCACTCAGTAACTAAGCGTGTTTTTATGTTTTTTTTTATCTTCTGTGTTAAGCACACTGAGCTTACATATGTATATATTTTCCAAAGTTCATGTGTGAAAACAGCTTGCCTTTAATCCAAACTTCATGTCACATTTCAAACTGATTTCCCATGAATAAACTTGCATTTGTACCTGTTCTTGGTGTGTTTATTGCAAACGGGCAGTAACTATAGATTCCTCTTTTCTTCCCATCGTTGTTTACTGACATTTTCTGCAGCTTTTGAGTTTTTAATTGTAGTGGATGAGTTTACATTTAGAATAATAGTACATGTTTCATTACGCATTTTGGCTTTTTAAAACTTAATTATTACATTTTTAATCACCTGCCAAATCAAAATAAAAGACCTGCAAACCCTAAAGAGTTAACATAGATGAATGGAGTCGTTTTTCCCCATTGAGCAGTGACAGGTTAAAAACTTTCCCATAAAATATCTCATTAGAAACATAATAGGTCATAAGAAGGGTTGTTTTTCTAAGCTGAGCGCTTGGATGAACTTTCCCTGTCAGGAGCATCTCACTGCAGGTCTAATCCTGACAATACAAGCTTGTACTTTTAGCCGCGGGAATGTAATCAGATGGAAAACGGAGTCTTTTCCAATATATTTTTAAAAGGAATCATCTGCCGGCTGCCTGAAATGCTTTTGTTACTTTTTCTGTGTAATTACAGTCTTACTGGAAGCCTCAGCATCTGTCAAAAAAAGATATACGGGATAAAGATGTCAAATTAGTCATTCTTGTTTCTACTCGTTTGAAACGGATGTTACACTTCAAGGTGAAACGATGAGCTGATGAAAGTTTTTACCAATATCTTTAACATTAACACTAAGGTTAATAAAACATTATTCACTTTCCTTTTACACTCTATTGATTTTTTTAAACTCATATTGAGTCTGTCTGTAATGACGGTGAAGCTGCTTATATTCAATTTAATTAAATTAATTAAATTTCTTACTTGGCTTAATTTTAATTACTAAACAAACAAAAGAACAGGACAATTTAGGATAAGAGCGGAACAAACAATGCATGCAAATAATGACAACAACAATGATAATAATTATAATGATGATAATCATTATCTTCTTCTCATAGTCATGGTCGTCATGGCCTATGCGGTGTATTCCTGCATCTGTAATGTAGTGCATTACACAATATCTACAATATCCACACAATGAAGAATACAGATGGAAAATCGATATGATAGAACATTATAGTATTAACGTAATTGTAATAGTAATAATACCTCTATCATGAAATACCTGGAACACAGGTGTGCTGGAGAAATGCCAGTAAACATAACATTAACCTTATCAAGACAAGACACAACAAGTCCAGAAGTATCTGCAGTTCTGGCTTTATGACATCAGTGCTTGTGTAATAGCTTCCAATGTTATTTGTACGCAGTCACTGTCGGCTCAAATCTGAGAAAGTCCCAGCTGATTCAGTAAGTATTTCCCTTTATCATCAAAATAACAGGACATATTTATTCTGGTTAAGCAGCCGCTTTGCTCAAAGTTTGGAGGACAACAAGATAGTTGGATCCACAGGTGAAAAGGAAACTGAAACCAGTGACTTGATGCTAAGTAAATTCAAGGTAAGAAAAATGTTCTACTGTTTGTGTTTCTAGCTGAAGGTTTAGAGTTACAATGTATTTTTAGTCATTTTTATGTGTGTGTGTGTGTGTGTGCGTGTGCGCGCGTGCACTTTGTTTAACCATTTCAACCGTGAAGTATGAAAAAAGCAAGACCATCCGAAGTGATATGCATCAAAAAATGTTTTTGTTTTAGTGCGAAAACTACTTTAAAATAGAAAAAGAAGGATAGAGAAAAAAGATCTTTTTCGCTTTTCTTCATAAGAGAGGGTTGAGAATAGTGTTTGGGTTATCACTTTAGATCTCATACTTAAGACCACCCACACAGCAAAACTCATTCATAAGATGATCAAGAGAACGCTGCCAAATATCTAAACGTGAAAGATGAAAAACCTTTGAAGAACATGTCTAAAATATTAAAAGTTTAAGGACACTTCACATTAGATGACCACCAGAACGTTTTTGAACCAAATTTAACCCCGTTTTAGTCTTGATGGGTTTGTACTATCTTGACATTTTTTTTCACACATCTAGTCAACAAAAAATTGCGCTCTGAGTAAACAAGACCCAAAGGATTGATAATCAGTTGAACTGGACTGAATTAAAGTCTTTGTAAAATCCCAAAAAGACAACTTTTAATAAACTTTAAATGTTAAAGGGCCTCTTTTTAAAGTCTATCACTGCCTGAGGCTGGAAAACAATGTCCACATATGTCTGCTACTTGGTAGGGAGAAAGATCAAAGATAAAATGTACATTTAAACAATTTATTTTGCATCATAGAAACATTGGACAGTTATCTCATTAACTGCAATGATTTGCATACTTTTCCAGAAAAAATATTTAAGCAATGTATAGAGACAAGCACAAAACTCTCATTTCAGTTTACTGTTATATTGGAGTCAAAGCCAGTCTGAAAACTGCCGTTCACAAATGCTGTCCATCTAATCTGACTGAGCTGGAGCTGTTTTGCAAAGAAGAATGGGCAAGGATTTCAGTCTCTAGATGTGCAAAGCTGGTAGAGACATACCCTAAAAGTCTGGCAGCTGTAATTGCAAAAGTATTGACTCAGGGGGCTGAATAATTACGCACACCCCACTTTGCAGTTATTTATTTGTAAAAAATGTTTGGAATCATGTATGATTTTCGTTCCTCTTCTCACATGTGCACCACTTTGTGTTGGTCTTTCACGTGGAATTCCAATAAAACTGATTCATGTTTGTGGCTGTAATGTGACAAAATGTGGAAAAGTTCAAGGGGGCCGAATGCTTTTGCAAGCCACTGTATGTACAACTTTCATATTTTAGACAAGATGGAACTTTAGGTTCATGCATGTAAACTGGAGATCCTTGACTGGTGTGAGAAAAACACTAATTTAGGGAAAATAGCCTGAAGAACTCATGAATTGTTTTGAATGCATGGGTAGCTGCTAAATATAATCCTGTATACATGTAAGATTTTGGTCCTGTTATGTGTTTCAGATTAAAAATAGTGAATCTTTTAAGAAAAAAAGATTATTTTGCTTCGTGTTGCTCAGTGCAGAGGGGGCTGGATAATATAAATGTATATTATGTCCACAATATGATTATGAATCTACCCTAAACAGAGGCCACTGTGTGAATTTGATCTGCCTCATTGGATGGTGACAGCACGTTGCCATCCTTTGCAGATAAAACCACAACATTTTCCAGCTGACAAATATCACTAAAAGGCCAAAACCAACGATGAATTGCAATAAATATGTTAAGCTCCCTTGATTCACAGTTACAATGGATAATATTTGAACATATGGGAACCAGTTTATTAAAAAACAGTGACAGAGAAGAAAAATGATTACACTCTCACTTTCCAGAAACAACTTTCTGGTTGTGAAACTCATGGGATTTGGTGATAATAAGTAAGAAAAAATTGAAAATCGCTCAAGTTAAATAAACATGCAGCTGGACTTCTCATGCAGTGCTACTGGAGCCTTGAATGCAGAGTTTTGCCTTTTTGAGGACATACGGGAAAACATTACAAAACCGTTGTGAAATAAACACAAATGCTGTATAATATGCAGCAGTTATGAAAAGAACTGTGTGGCATATGCCTGCTCTACAGCCGCCAAATAACATGGAATAAAAATAAAGTTGTGCCTCAATGAATAGTGAATATTTTCAGATGGGGACCAGCTACTCCAACACCGATTCTGTAAGCCTTTATTCTGACTCCTGCGTTGTTTGGCCATTAGAAACAG